AAGGCACTTCAGAGGTGGCTGGCTATACAATTGCCAGGGAATTAACCAAGTGGTCAACTCCTTCATTGTTGGTGGGAGTACTCCACAGTACAAACCTTCCTAATCTCAACAAAATCATTCCATTGATAGAGTAGATGCCATAATGGAAAATACCCCCCTTTGTGTTACTTCTGTATGGACATCAGAAGCTCCTGGCATGATAAGCAAGCTGTCCTCAGACTGCAAAGACTCAATAGCTCTGTATAGAAAAAAAAAAAACATTTTCTCAGGTAATTTGCCCCATGCTGCTTATGGCTTCATAAACTAACAATACCTTGAAGATGGTTCAGTAGCTAATTAGCCATTGCAGGAATTCCAATACAGGCATTGTATGTGCATCATAAGAAACATTGCTGAGCAATCCAGATGCTGCATCCTCTGATAGCTACAATATCTGAGCTACTATGTAGAGCAGCAGTACCCAAATCATCTTACAGTTACCAGTCTTGAGGTTACCAATACATAGATCACTCTGGAAAGGCAATCCCAATTTCGGGATAATAATTGTTGTACCAGCCCTAACCTCCAAAGGTTACTTAGGCCTTTAGTAATGTGACTATCAGCATCTCTAGATTATATACTTATTCATACAGGGAGAGTGCAACCCATGTAGAACTCTGTTATCCAATTCCCAGCCCCCAGGACCACAGAATCACAGACCTCACCAATATTCCACCTCAGCGTAGCTATCCTCATTCAATGTACTAATGTTTTCTGGTACTTATCCTAACCATGCTCAATCATACCTGACTGAGCTAGGTTTCATCAGTGTATTGCGAACAGTTCCCCCACCTCTTCTAAAGACCACACAATGGCTTTATATGGCTATTAAAACTCTACCATTGGTTTGGCTCACCCAGTGAGAACTTTAGCTGTTTTTGTTGTCACTATCTTCTTTTCCTTTCCTCAACCAGGGTTATAGGAATAAGGGCAAAGAAGCAAAAATGCCTCCTACGCTGAGGAACACAAAGGGACTTTAAACTCAGTATCTAAACTCAGTCTGGAGAGGACTAAACTTTCTGACACGTTAGCAGACTAAAACCTGTATAGCTAGAGGTGCTCATTCCAGTACTGAATAGCACTGGAGATATTGGAGACAGCATTGTTCCTATTATATTGCCAAAGTACAGATCTAACAGTCCATTCCCAAAATGATGAGGTCCCAGGAGATTGTTTTATAAGCAGCCACTTGTACATTTCTTTGTTATCAGTGAAAAGACCTGCCATTTTCCTGGTTCAGAGAATGGAAAAGGAAAAAAAGAAAAGAAAAAGAAAATGAGAAAATCTGCACTCTAGTGAATGTTTGGATATATTGGCCATAAGTTTGGAAATATTTCAGTCGCTGTAATCCTTATAACCACATCCCTTTATTAAGGGACTCTGAGAGAATTGTCTGTTCAAGGAGTTTTCTTGCCGTTTTAGGTAGAAATTAAGACCACTGAGAGGAAATATGATAGAAGCCTTCTGAATATCATAGGACTGAATATCTGAAGGACTGTTACAGATAAGAGGCAGTGGAGTTATTTTCGTTTGTCCTAGAGGACAGGATTAGAACCACTGAATTAAAACTACAAGGAAGGAAGTTCAGCTTGACATCAGGAGGAACTTCCTGGTTAGACCAGTTGTCAGCCAGTGGAACAGGTTGCCACATGAAATGATGAGTTTTCCTTCACTGAAGATCTTCAGAGGTCATCTGTCAAAAATGCTGCAGTGCAGGCTGACTGGGGAATTCTGGGAGTTGAAGTCCACACATCTGAAAGCTGCCAAAGTTGAGAAACGCTGCCCTAGTGAATCCTTCAGTACGTGACTTCAAAAGTTCCTTCCAATCTTTTTTTTTTTTTTTGATTTTTGAGATACCGCATGTCCTCTTCTCCAGCTCCAAATGAAGGTTTGCTGTCCTAGTGATTAAAGCTGATTCTGTCTCAAAGCTAAGGCTGAATGCCAAACTGAAATGGCCTTAATCTCCTCTGAGATCATTCACAGCTGTGCTGCTGCTACCCTTCCAAACTCCTTGTCACCCGAGGGAAATATGTATAACCAGTCTATAATTACTATAAATCTCTGAATGGAGGGAAGTTTTGCCACCGCCACCCCAATCATCTCTTGAAAGGCAGCCAACACCACTGTATCCCATTTTAACAACTCTCCAGATTCAGCTGGCTAATCCCTCCCTCACATCTAACTGAAATACCCTGCAAGAGATCCCATGGCCTGCTAGGCTGCTGCAAGATCAAATAAAATGAAATCAGTCCCACCAAACTGGGTAAGACAGTGTTGTATATACTTCATTAGGACCTATATCTCTTGGACTATTTCCTAGTAAACTTATTTAAGACACACTGAGGAACAAAATGCCACCTTTTAACAAGCTATTTAAACAAAAATAACAAAAAAGGAGCCAGGCACCAAATTGGTCTCTTATGTTATTCTCATCAACATGTGAAAGAAATTTGAGAAAGACCAAACCATGCATTAAATGGAGAAAATAGAAGGTTTGGTTCAGGGCCTTTTCTTATAAACATATTAATACATAGGCTAGAGATCAGGAAAATAAATTCATTATCCTGGATTATGTCCCACCTTTAAAATGCTTAGAAAAACATGTTTTGACTTCTTTTTCCCACCAGAGAAAATTGGGGTAGGGAACTGTTTATTTAATCAAAAAGAAACAGAAAAATGTCAATTTGTGGTCTTGGTTGCAATATTAAAGCATCACCCAGTGGAAGTTAATATGAATATCTACAGTCTCTTCTGGCCCTCCATTTTAGGATCACAACTGTACAAACTACTTATTTCAAAATCATATGTCCTCTTTTTCAATTTCTCCCTCTTCTGAAAAGTGTTACATGTTTGAGTTCTGCCAGTGAAGACTCTAATGCCATGAGACTGGCCCCAGCCCTGTTGGCCTTCTGGAGAGCCCTTAAAACATGAGTCTGTCAACTGGCTTAGGGATCCCTTGAGAGAGTGGAGCTTACTAGATGGCGATGGTTAATGGAATGCACTGTCTTGTATATTTTTCTGCCATGTTGCTTTTTAAATCTTTTTAAATCCATTTAGTTTAAATTGGTTTTTTAATGGCTTTTATGTATTTGGACTGTTTTTACTAGTACTAGGTGAGATGGGCAGCTATACAAATGTGATAGATAGATAGATAGATAGATAGATAGATAGATAGATAGATAGATAGATAGATAGATACTGGAATTTTTCTTACAATCCACACAGCTACTTGGAGACAAGGGTATGTTTGAAAATATTTAAAAACAGCTGATCTACAAAGAAGGAAGAGGATCTTTTTGCATCTTTTTGCTTTATTCTCAGCAAAAGCTACAAAGTGATTTCTAGTGATGCTTCTTCTTTTCAAAACCTTAGATCCTCACCTAAATTATTTACAGCTTTGTCAAGTATACAGGCAAGCTGGCTAGCTTCCACTACATTTTCCACTTACCAAGTGACTACTGTAGTTTATTTCCCCTAAGGCTATAGGTGGGTTTGAGTTCACATTCTGGAGATGATGATATATTCAGTCTCTTTCCTTCTTTATCCAGCACTCCCTGAGGTGATCCTGATTGCAGTCTGAAATTATTAGATTATTCAGCAAACCTTAATTTGAAAGTCTACTATCTCCTTCCAATTCCACTTTAGAACTCTGGTCATCAGTATCAAGTGCACCTCACTTCCCGTTCTTGGCTCACGGAAAGTTCTACGAACTTTGAAAGCAGGTTCCTCCCCACCCCCATCACTGAATTGCACTAAATCTCAGGTTTATACAGCAAAACTATTGAACACTTTTAAAAAATCCAATGTATCATCTCCATAGACCCTTATTCTCAATAGTAATGGTGATTTATTACTATCGCTCAATTTCCTTTGCCTCAGCTGCCCTAAACATAGGAATCAGTATATAAAACATAATTGCAGCATGAAATTTTATCCAAAGGATAAATTCGATGTCAAGTTTTCTTGGCTCAAATATTTGAAAATATTTATATTTTATAACTTTTGGTACTATATCTGTCTAAATATTTTATCTGTAACCATGTACAGATTTACCAAATGAAAATCACACCCCA